GGGGGGGCGGGGGGTGTGGGGGGGGGGGGGGGGGGGGGGGGGGGGGTTTCTCTTGTGAGTCTTTTTACAAAATTGTGTCTCTCTTAAGCAAAGGCTTTGGCTGGGATATGTTGCAGGCGTCTTGCTTTTTCATTATCTATGGGTGACCTACTGATAGTGTGTTGGTGGCCAGACAGTGGAAATGAAATGAAAATGCAGCAGATCATAGCCCTTACTATGGTTAGAAAGGCTGGTGATCCAGTTAGAATCTCAAGAGAGCCCCAAACCAGTCTGATAGCACTGCATGAAGAGCAAAAACCACAAACACTAAGTTTTTATTTTCTTTTCTACAGTATATTTTTTGTTGGTGTGAATGACTTTCTTGGCATCTTCCCTCTGAAAGTAAGGACTCCCCTTGCCAGTAAATGCTCAGAGTGGGCCGTGTGTAGGTTCAAATGGAGTCAAGCTGATTTGTTAGAAATTCAGCCTGGGTTGTGGTGTAGCATTTGTTTGCAGAGCTCCTTAAGAAGTCCCTGTCACCACCTGTGCATTTTCACCCCTCAGCAATATCATTATTGTGCTACTGCAAGTGTTCAGAGATCCAGGTTTTAAAAATATCAAGGGGAAAAGAAAGTCCCAAGGTGAGAGGAACAGCGTTACATGAGACAAAGGTGATCTGGAGTGCAGTGGGGTCAGAGGTTTGGGAGGTAACCACCCTCAGCTGTGTGGGGCTGGGGGGGGGGGGGGGGCTGGAGAGAGATTCTTTAAGAGGGAGTGTAGCGATAGGATGAGGGGTAATAGTTTTAAACTGGAGGAGAGGAAATTTAGATTAGATATCAGGAAGAAATTCTTTACTGTGAGGGTGGTGAGGCACTGGTTGCCCAGAGAAGTTGTGGATGCCCTGACCCTGGAAATGTTCAAGGCCAGGCTGGATGAGGCTTAGAAAAACCTGGTCTAGTGGGAAGTGTCCCTGCCCCCGGGGTGGGGGGGGGGGGGGGGGGGGGGTGTGGTGTTTTGAAGGCCAGGACAGAATGGTTCTGGTTAAATGACTCCAATTAAATTTTACAAAACCAGGCCGATCAGAAAAGGTTGCATCTGCTTAGGCCTGAGAGACAGAAAGTAAAGCAGGGCAGGCAGCTGTAGAGAACAGCCAGCCATTCCTCACGGTGTCTCCCTGGGGGAACACCAGGAGCACGAAGCTGATCTGTCTCCAGCAGGAAAGGCCCAGGTTAGATACCGCCCTGTGGAAAACAAATAAACCCAGCAACACCTCCCGGGGCTGGGGCTTTGGTTTGGTGCCAACGGGCACCAACAGGAGGACTTGCCACCCGACGTCGTACTTGGGCTAGTTTTATTCTTAAATAGGCTCAACAATACAATGGGCCGGTTAGAAGTAGTCTATGCTCTTTCTAATCAAAAAATGCTAAATTACTTCCCCCACCACCACCTCACCTCTTCTTAAGGGAGTAACTCATTACCTCTCACAAGCCGTTTGACGACACCTCCCTGTCACCCGCGGGGTCACTCCTGCCTCATGTAGAGGAACCAGGTCTCCCCTTCCAGCCCCACCCGAGGTTCCGTGCCGGAGCCGCTCCTGGAAGGCCTTTGCTCAACCCTCGTTGACTCCGAGGCACTAAAGGCTTTCAGTGGCAGAGATCTGGAGCAACTCGTTCAGTTTTTAGTAAGAAATTGCTTTCAAGCTCTGTGTTGGTTTTAAGGTGTCTACTCAAAGTGTCCCTTAGTGTAAACTTGCTCTGTTCCTCCTTTGCCACTGGTGACAGCTCTCTGTGCCTTTGTTAGGGTCACACAGGATGTAGTTGGAGGTTAATCATCTCTTGTCTTCCTCCCTCCATGGATCGAGCCTTCTGGGCCCACTGTCAGTGCAGGCTCTGGCTCTCTCTAGGCAGCCCGTGTTGTCTGAAGTAGAGGCCCTACACTCTTGTATCAGACACACCCAAACTGGATTTTGTTTCTCTTCGAACTCATTTCTCAGTCTGAGGAGGATAATTTTAAATTCTGAACTTGCTTTCTGAGGAACCTGCAGCTACACTGAGCTTTCTGAAACCTTCACATTTACAAAATGATCTGCTCCCTCGCACTTCAGCCCCATATTGTGTGTCTTTTCAGTCCAGCACAAGATGTCATCTATAGCTATGACACGACGGGTTAGAAGCCATAGACCTTCATCTCCATCCTAGCTCTTTATTTTTAATGGCAAGAATGACATTCTTGCTCATTCTGTTTCTTACTTCTCCACAAGTTCTGTCGCAAAAGGATTTAGAATTCATTAAAAACAGGATAAAGTTCTCACCAAACTGCAATTACCTTTGCAAATAATCCCCCTATTTGAAGGCAGCCTGATGAACCCTTCCCTCTCCAAAAATACTTGAAAAGCTGATGTGCATCAGTGATTTGCAGCCCAACCACATTTAGTTAATTTCTTAAAAGACAAGCGAGGCTCACTCTGGGCTTTGTTTTCAACATCTGTAGCAAGTACTTGTTGCTGCTGCTTTTGAGAAGCTCTTCTAAGGTATGCTCAGTTTGGGAGAGGATGTGAGGTGCTGAACAGTAACCAGAGACAACTTGTGCAATACATAAAGAACTTTACACAAACTTGTTGAACCATTTAAATTGTATTCCACTTTTGAAACATTAACATTGTGTGTGTATATACTGAAAATAGCAATCCTCAGTCAACCGAGACACAGAGATAGCTGCAGTCTAGATAAAATATGTTTCATGTAAATACATTCATGATTCAAAACAAAGAGTCATACACCCTGCTGACAGACTCGAGTGCAAGTGACTTTCTTACATGTATTTAACATTTGTGATGCAAAGAGGCTGACTAAGGGCTATTTAAACATGGAAAAATTGGTAACATGGCTCCAGGACTGAGTCATTTAAAAAGTTGCTACTGATCAGGGAAGTATTTCCTGTTGTCATAAACCAACTGTATGTGTCTTAAAAAAATAATTCTATTTTTTAGAAAAACTATTTCCTGGTTCCATGCCCAATTAGGTACAGTCACCTTTATATACCACGTTTCTCTTTCCCTTTCCCCTCGGGGCTCTCGGCAGGTGAGCTGGCAGTGTGCTGGGCTGGCCAGAGAAAGCTACGCCTGGGGAGTCTGAAGTTGGTCCCAGGGAGAAGGGACAGTGTTTAGTTAATGAGTAGATAGCCATGATTTATTTTTGTCAAAATCTGTTTGAACTTGGAAAAAAAGAAAAATACACATACATGCAATAAAGGAAAAACTTGCCCTGAACTTGCAAGCTCGTGTGTTCAAGAGAAGCATCATACAAAATCTTTTACTTTCTGTACAATGACAATACCAAATAAATTTTCTTTTTAACCATCATATACACAACACAAATATTATGAATAGAAATCTATAAATACTTTAAAATGAATTTGTAATACATAGCAGTTGAGGGCCATAGCTGTACAAAATGTAAGCAACAAATATAAAACGATTAAGAAAGTGCAAAGTAGAACGGTATCAAGAGCCTCCACTTTTTACAGCATTTATGGTTCAAGTGTCAAGAGCTGGCAGGGAGCAGGAGCTCGGGTACAAGTCAAAAGAAGACACAGTACAGGATTCTGCACACAAAAGGATGAACTATTATTAAATTGTATCTTCCCACTTCTTCACATCTATGACTTCCAGTTAATAAGGTAACATTTTCATAATGAATTTTTGTAAAGAGTGATTTGTCCCTTTTCACAAGTTCCATAAAACAAAGATTCCCTGTCCACAGACTACTTTTCTGTAAGTAAAACAAGACTCCACAGGGGAACTGCTGTTTCTGGTTGCCTTGTTATGCTCACTGTATTTAAAAGGTGAACGGAAATACCCTTCCATAGAGCCCCTCCATACAGGTAACCTGTGCCATCCCTCACGCCTACGGGAGGGTCTAGAGGATTAGTGCCTTAAAAACAAAAGCGCCAATTGCCCCTCAAAAAACCCAACAGAACTAGAAACCCCTTTGAGTTTCAGATCTGCTCAGAGCCAGCTGCCATCAGTTTCGCTGCTGTTGCCAGTCAAGAGGCAGGTTTTCATTCCGTGTTCAGGCAGGGATTTCTCATCAGCACCTCCTGGCCCAGGGCAAGGCTTTGTTTTCTTTTATGCCGCGTGTCCTAGTGGAACGCTCTGCTTCAATTAAAGTACAGTGGCAAGTAAAAACATATTTGGGGAGTTGGAACTTGAAATAGTTAATTCAACTCTCTTGAATGAAATGTCTTGTTTTTTAGAAAGCTTTTCAGTTCACCTTTATTTGAGTAAGTGTACTTTGTATTCTTCTTTAGGCACTGTAAATATTCAAGACACTAACTGATGTGCAGAAGAATCCATCCACTCTCAAGCAGTGCATTAGTAGTGATCTCTAGCAAGTTTTTCACTAATGTTGTCATCTTGTTTTTGTTTTTAAATAAAGAAGGGTAGACTTTAAATACTCTCCCCCCCCCCCCCACAACCCTTACTA